TTACCACATCAGTAATGGCAATGGAATGTTGAATTCATGCAAAAATGAAAAATGACATCATATTCAATAGAAATAAATCCTTATTAATTATTTACTAAAAACNCAGAATAACCATGTATTGTTACTGTTTGTTCCTTCAACGCACTTAATAGATTACATTATGCTCGTTTACCTGCTCGTTACTGCTTAATAATGGGTGTTTCAAACAGATTTTTTCATGTAATGCACTTACTTTTATAATGTCAAGTTTAGATATAGGTAATAGAGCCACACTTCTTGCATTTATCTACACTGCTAGATTTACTATTACGTTTTTGATGCATTTTTGAAGCACTAATCATAAAAGTTAACATTACCACATCAGTAATGGCAATGGAATGTTGAATTCATGCAAAAATGAAAAATGACATTATATTCAATAGAAATAAATTCTTATTAATTATTTACTAAAAATGTATTTTTTATTACTGGTCAAAGACTAACATCAACATCACCTCATGACCTGCAAGAGTACTTCAGAATTTCTGCAAAATTTAAATTTTAGATATATGGTTGAATTGCTCATTAGTCAAAGTAAGTGAGCTCCTGTATCTATTATTGGAACAGAGCTGTTGAGAACTTGTATGGTGCCAGGGGATACAGGCCCATTTTGTTTTTTTTTTTCAAACAAATGATATATGTGGAATGTTTTCTTTATTAATTAATAAAAAGAAATCTTATTTTATTTTTTCTTAGTAAAAGTAACATTAATTTTCATGAGTAGCAACTACTATGGAGCCCCTAAGTTTCCTGTAAGCTCAGGGAAAAATTCCCAGTTCCCTCTCTTTATTCCCTACTTTGAATTTTTAAAAATCACTAGTATATGTATAGATTTTTAATTTCTCAAAATTGTAAATTTCATAAGTAGAGAAAGAAAATTAATAATAATTTTTGTTTTATATGTGGTATTTCTTCCAACTAGATTTCAATATTAAAAACATGAAACTACAAAATTAAAATTTGAAGAGACTATAAATTTTTAAATTAAAATAAAAAATAAAAAAAAATTATCCAAAATTACTATATTACTATATAATTACTATATTAATTATTAATAAAATGTAATAAATCACATTCATCTTAGATTAAACTTTATCTTAAATTATACACAAGTGTTTTAATTATAATTAAACAAAATATGCAATTACCAACAAACCAGCAAAAATTTGATTTAATTAGTCATTAAACAAACGTTTTAACCCATTTTCTACAGTCATCCTCAGGTTTCGAAGTAATGAATGTTTGTCCAACGAATGCAAATTCCAAACATTTTGAAAAAGTTGCATATTGTGAAAATACATTCATGCTCAATGTCACATTTAACAAGGTTAATTTAGACTTCAAAATGGCTTCCAGTTTTAAAAAATACTAAATTTATATAAAATACGATGAAATCCGACCAAAATCTATTACACGTCAAAGCATGCCTTCCACGTGGCTGCAAATGAGTCCATTTCTTTAAAATTAATTGCTGTCCTCCTCCTAAATGTTTTAAATATTTTGAGTTGTTCAAGATATTTCAGGTTGGCAGGGTCATCACAATGTTGTAGTAATTGGGCCTTGTCAAATTTAACATGGACATTGTTATCACCGGTGAAAGTAGACAGTATGGTAGTGGATAGATCTTTCCAAATCATACATTTATGCTCCCTGATCCTCATTTTTAGATCACATGCAATAGAGCTCCAATATATTCACATGGACGGTCCACCCTATGATCATTAAGAGAGATAGTATAGACTTAGGATACAATTCTGGACCAATTGGTCCTATCATTTCTAATACTAGAGAAAACAGTAGATCATCTCCTGTACACAATCCTGTTACTCGTAAAGCATGATATTTCTTTGTACATGTTGGCAAGGACCTTATTATAGGTAACATGTAAAAAGGGCTCATTCTTTGATCGTAATGTTTCAGCCAGATGCTCCTGGTGTACAAGAGCATTGATAAGGTGTGATGGGTATCCATGCTGCCTGGCTATGCTTGAAATATAATCCAGCTCTATTTTCCTATCTTCCACCATAGTAACTGATCTATAGAAAGGTACTCAATGTTACATTTCACACACAGAAGTTATGATCAATAATACATAATTTTATTGATAAGACTATATCTTGTTTATAAAATCGTATTGCCTGCTGTGTTACCAGCTTAGAGGTATGAAGGAGTACTGTACATGTCAGGAGTTGCAATTTGGCACAGAGTATTAGGTGCACAAATCATGCATGCATAAAAAAAACCAGACTTGTAGGTACTCAGGGAACTGAGATAAACTAAAATACAAAATGGCAACTCTCTCTACAAACAGGCAAACCGAAGTCAGGTGGTGAGAGTATCACCCACAGTCGTTCTAGGAAGTGGACTCTGACCCTAGGACTGAACACGTAGTATTTACTTTGTTAAATAAAATTTGTAATCTAATTTTGTAAATTTGGGAGTACTTCAAATATGACATTAAAACAGGATTTTATGTTGTTACAAGTAGGTTTTTTAACATTATCTAGTATAGTAAAATCTTGGACCAATAAAAATTTAACATTATGTTAGGGTTGTCGTTACATCTGATGACATTATAATCAGGTTAAACTGTATATTGTTTGTGCAAAATAAAAAATAATTTTAGACGATACAATAGCCACGATTATTTTTTTCAAAAATGTGAAATTTTCGTTATGCATCGACAAAAATTCAACCCGGACCGACACGCAACGGAGAGAAATTTCGAGATTGGATAGGTTAATTTCACCAAAAATGCATCATGGATGACCTCATGGTTGTGGCTGGCGAAATTTGAATGATCGCACCCAAAAGCAGCAATACCAAAGAGGACTGAGAATGAGAACGAGACCGGCCTTGATTCTGCTTAGTAATAAGTCTCTGAGACATAGTCTTGTCCCAAATATGGTTTTGCCATTTTACTTGTTTTGTTATATAATGTACAGTGACTCTAGTCTACAGAAGTTTTGAAAGTTTTATATAAACATTTGGGTTGCGGAACCATTACAATCAAATACACTGGATCACGTAAGCAAAATGTTTGAGAAATGCTGGTCTACATTATAGTTCATTGGATGTTTTTTGCTGGAAACATTTCAAGGTTTGTGTGAAAATAGTGTTACATATTTTTTCAGCCTAGTAAAGATTCTAAAATTGGCCAGATCAAAAATTATGCAAGATAAGGCTATGTATTTTGCTAACTGAATTCCTAAATGAAGAACAATAAATGCTGATGAAAATTGTAAATCTCAAAAAATTATGATGAGCTATTCAAAACAAACAGCACAAACTACAAAGCTCTGGCATTGTGTTACTTCATGACAATGCAGGATTGCACATTACAATGAACTTGCTGCTAAACAATTCTAGTGGGAAATATTCCATTACCTACCTTTAGCCTTTACCTTGTATCATTTTTCACTAGTTTAATGAACTTGAAGGCATTTTTAGTGAAACAATGATTTGACAGCAATGAAGAGATGAATAACTATGAATAAGATAAGTTAAAGAGCCTAATGTTAGATTTCTTTAACAAAAGGATAAAAAATACTTATGCAATGATACAAAAAGGTTCTTTATCTTTGTAATGATTATGTTGAAAAGTACGTAAATACATGTGTAAAGTTTTGACACTAAAAGAATGTCTAAAATATTTTCTCTGTGCTTTTGTAGTCAATTGAAACTTACTTTATGAATTCCCATATACATTAAAACACTGTGAACTTATCCATTAGTCAGATTTTTTAATCAGTTTGCATGATTTCTTTGTGTAAAAAATCTTTTAAATTTTAACGCTGTATGAAATTTTTTCAAAAATAATACTTAAAAATAGTTTTGTTTAATAATTTTACAAATAAGAATAAGTATCTAACAACAAACACAAAGATGCAATTTTTTAATACTGACTGCCCCTGAAATAGAAGTATTTCAATAAAATATTTGAAGGTTATTTCTTCAAACCAATGTAATAGGTACTTCTGTGGTTGTGTGAAAAGGATTATCGGATGGATAGACTTGAAAATTAAATATTTTTGTAAATAGTCTTAACTTTTAATTTGAAGAATTCTAATTTGAAAAAAATATTTGAGATAATGTAATTTTGCTAAATACATATATATTAAAAAATAATGCAGAGTATATCAAAATCTTATCAAAAGAGTTTAAAAGAAAATTAATATTGTCCCTTATTTTTGATAAATAATATTGATTAAAATTAGAAATTATCACATCTCTTTACAGTGTTTATCAAATAATAGTTTTTGTTTTTGCTGTCGTTGAACTGACTAAATTTAATCTGTTTTGTCTGCTTGTTTTACCACTGATACCAAGAGATGCATTAGCATGTTTTTTAATTGAAAGTTTTTACATTTGTTTCTGCTAGTTATTTAACTCGGCTTCTATTAATATTACTGTAAAATGAATAGATGAAATAACACATTTTCTGTCATAAATTCGTGAAGTTTTTATTCATTAAAAATGATTTATTGATTTCATAAAATTAGCAAAACTAGGGATTTTGAATTTAAGTAAATATTATTTCAGATATTTACTCCATTCTTTCTAAGTATATCATTTAACTTTTAAATATATTTTTTTTGTTTCTTTATTACTAATATATCTCAATATTCATGAAAGTGTTATAATCATATTTGCTTATTTGTTTTTATTTTAAATTGGAAACCAAATTTATTTTTGGTTATTACCATAAATTAGATCATTTCTTATTCTTACAGATGCAATGAAGAAACAAAATTTTAGAAACCAATAATATAAATGAAACTTAATTCAATGATGGTAATTCAGTTTTGTTTAAAAAAATGTAATTTAGTTAATAATCAGAAAAACTGTCATCCAGAAACTTCCAGGTTATAAAGATTAATTCAATAAAATCATTTTGAAAATTAAGGATTGTTCTACCATAATTTATTTATATATAAAATATGAAACAAAATCATATTTACCTAAAAAGTAGCCTATATTACCAGCATTTAAAAATGTATGCGTTCGAAAATAATTTCCAATTCCGTCTCTTCCAGGTCGAAAGGGAAGAGGTGTATATAAATGAAGGCCACTTGCCCAATATGTTTCTGCTCCTAATGCATCTTCTAAATAAATAAATAATATCATTTTATTATACAAGTTATTAAAATATGAATAATTATTAATTAAAATAAACTATTATAAGCCAATAACAATAATGTTTATCAAAAATAACAGATTATTTTCTTAAACCTAGATTACTAAGCTTGCTCTGCTCTTACACACCTACTAACCACTCAGGATTTGTTTTTAAGTAAAGAATAATATTTGTTTTAATACTATCTTTATTTTCTAGACATGTAACTGATATCAAACCAATACTGGTCTGATACTGATATATTGACTTATGCTGCAGAGCTCTGGTAGTTGCAAATCTGGATGAAGCCAAATTAATATGACAAGTATTCAACAAATAGCACCTACAAGTTCTAGAAATTTTGGAGACATTTAAGAGTGCTTTAAAAAGAAGAATGCCTAAATTACAAAGATTGTGAATCATTATCATTGGCTTTGCAATCATCTTATGATAACCTGCAGAAGAGAACTCAACAGGCTGGCACTACTGCATGGCCAATGAGTAGTGCCAGCTAATAATATAAGTAGTGGCCAATAATATACTAGCCATAGAAAAATCAAACTGGCCCAGAGCAGCAAATTTTCATGCATATTATTTTAAAATATTTTAAAAATTTTTATTTATATTACATGGTGCAAATTGAATACTGATTGACAGAGCAAGGTCTGGAACTTCTAATTTGGTATGGCATTTCAAAACAAAATTTTATCATTTTATGTAAGGGGATAAGGGGCGTCAAATGCATGTCTTGCCCCAGGCGGCATAAACTTTAGTGCCGGCTCTGAACAGGAGTTCCACAACATATATTATTTAAAGGCACTAGTATAAATCTTATGCTACAATAGGCATTATTTCACAACTTTTAAATATTGAAAATATATGATCGCGTAGAGTCTGTTCCATCTTGTAGATTTTTATGTAAAAAACATCATTGAACCAGTTAACATCCAATTTAGAATGGTGGAAGTTTGAAGTGAGCCAAGAAATGTTTGTCAGAGAAGTAAAACGGTGCTGGAAGTGTTCAAGGTGTTTTATTGGGGAGTTTCTTATTTTTTTCAAAAGTGACTATTGAAAGAAACAAGGCATTGGTTTATAAAATGAACAGATTCCAACATGCTGATATATTGCTATCAGTAAGATATCAGTAAACATTTTTATTTTCGACAGGTTGCAATACATTGGTTATTCAGTGTTAGAAGAAGCTTAATGTTCATTGAAAATTATCCTAATTATTTTTCTTTGTCACAAGTAATGCAACAACATGCATGATATTCTGTGCAGAATACTTGTTTTCACTGTTGCAATGAAGGGCTTTATTTCTTCTTATTAAAAAAGAAACAAGAAAAAAAAAATCAAAGAAAATACTAAAATACAATAATAATATTAACTGATAAATTAAGAAAAATATTACTTTCTAATTTTCATAAAAATTATTTATATATTTCCCTTAGATACAAAGATAATTATGAATTACATTCTTATTAATGATGAATATATCATGCATAAAACTGACACAAGCATATAACAAGAAAAAAAAAATTATGAATGGTTTTGTCATAAAATGTAAGAAAAGATATATTTCTTAAATTTTATTCATTTGTCAAGAAATAGAGTGGAAAACAATGTTCAAAGTTCTTAAGAACTGAAACAATGTAGAGTGGAAAACAATGTTCAAAGTTCTTAAGAACTGAAAAAAAATAACTGTAGAGACTATATGATAATATACTAGCCATAGAAAAATCAAACAGCTCTTCAAAATTATTGAAAAAATTAGGCAGAGATGTGATTTATCACCAATACTCTTCAATATATATAGCAAGGAAATGAGGCAATTTACAGAATCAAACCATACTTGTCTTGAAGTGAATGGCAAACTCTTCGTTACAATCTGCTTTGCAGATGACATAGCTCTCATAGCAGAAAATAAACAGAACCTACAATATTCTCTAAAATACATAAATGAATTTTTAATGGAAAACACAACAAGAAAAAAGACAAAATAATGAAGTGTACATGAGATGATAAACAAAGAGCTGACATTAGGTTGAAAGGTAAAAGAACTCCTCAAGTAAAGTGTTTAGCTACCTTACAGTATTATAATATCTGACAAAAAATGTGGAAAAGATGTAGCAGCTAGAAATTCCTATGCCTCTGAGACATAAACACTCAAGAAGGCCCAAAGGAAAAAAAATCAAAGTATTCAAAATGTGATGTTGTAGGAAGATTGTAGCAAGCACCGTGAACAGAAAATCTATGTGATGCTGGATATTGCATGTTGAAAACATCTTGGAATGATAATGTACAGAACAAAGACATTCTAAAGATGGTAGAAGAAAAATCCAATTTACTAAATACAACAGAAACAGAGGGAAATAGCATGATAGATCATTTACTTCATTCTGATGGATATACAACTTTCTTGGAGGATCAAGTGGAAGGAAAATCTGTAAGGAGCAGGATGAGAATAAAACTTTTGGACAATATAAAAAATGAAAACCTGATGACATATAAAGCAGCTAGCCTTGGAAAAAAAAACCACTGATAAACAATCATGATACTGTCAACCCTGAGACTGGGGGAATGGAGAGAGAGATCAAGAAAAGTGTTATCGAAGAACATAAATAGATAATTAAAAAATATCATATAGATTAAGATGAAATAGAACTACAAGCAGAATCACAGAAATTAAGTAGTAATAATATTCGTTCTATAATTTTATTTAAATTAAAAAAAATATTGATGAAATTTAGCAAATCTTAACAGAAAAATGAAGAAAATCAACAAATTAGTAATAAAAGTTAACAGGATGTAGTAGTTTTCTATTATTAAGTCAGGTAACCTTCATATTATTTTTATAATTATAAAAATAATAATTGCAAAACAAATGATAAATACAATTTATTAGTAAATCTGTTAAGATATTTTAAACATTACTTTCAAAACTAAAAGAAATAATTTTAGTTTATCATCAATGATATTTATCTATGACACTAAGCAAATAAGATAGGATAGTACTGATAATTATCCAAATAGAAATGAATAAGTTTAGTTGAGATGAGTTTTACATGTTAGTTTTAAAATTTGATTAATTTTTAATATCAACTGATTCACTTTCATATCAACTATTTTGAAAGAAAAATTATTTATCTTATGCATATCAAAGTCAAATCTAGAGTTTCCCTACGTAAAAAAGTACGTACGGTAACTCTAGATTACTATTTAAACGTCATTTGCAATCGACTGCTCTGGTGTCGGCAACGTCAAATATTTTTCTACGGACCAGCAATAGAAAAACACCAGTTTATAGGATAAATTTAATTTAATTTGTATTACACAATATAATTTAAAATCATATAAAATATTACTGAAGTATTTCAACATCTGAAGCTAATTTTCATATGTGTTTCAAAGTAGAATCATTGAAGTCTAATAATATAATATTTATTTTGATTAGATTAGATTAAAATATTTGATGCAATAGATAACAGGAATTTATTAAATGAGCTTGATGATATAATATTTGAAACATCGATCTTTATTAATTAAACATTAAATCAAAAATGTGACGTTTAAATGAAAGAAAATAACAACAACAAAGCCGAAGAACAATAATACTAATAACTATAACAATAATGAATTATATATTTATTAATTCAAGGTACAAGATTTGATTGTAGTAAGGAATATGTGATAGAATTAAAACAATAAGGAGTTATGGAATTTTTATTAAAAAAAATAAACTTTTATATTATTAAATAAAAAATAAAATTGGAATCATATGTTGCTATATTTTTGTTATAAAAATTTTTTAATATTTTTAATTATTATAAAATGTCAAAAAGCTTAATTTTGAGGGTAGGGGTGAGTTTTACAAAATAGTGTAAATGTTGATAATGAATAAAATCTTCATTAAGTCCTATCCCTCTCAAGATACATGACCCTCCCTCTCTATCTCCCCACCATTTGACCTTTCACTGCAAAGATTTAATAGTATCAACGCCCCTCACATACAAGTCATTACACAAATTTTGTTTCTTAATCTTTACCCTATCCTGAGATATTAAGCAAAATAGATGCCAACACACAAGCACGGACATAGATCCATGGAATTCTTTTTGTCTTTTTTTTTACTTTTTTGGATTCAGGAGGTCGAAAAATGTGGAGATTTGCAAAGAAGGGGAGTAAAATTTGACACAATTCCAATACTTTTTTCCCTTGTTATGCATACACTACAGCTGGGAAAATAAAAGCTGGCAAGCGCTCTTGCTCGACTTTCCTGGCAAATGAACAGGAGGTTAAGGGATCCACGATAATTTTCAATTATACTATGATATAAAATATAAACAATAACAAAATCATATAAGTAGTAGTTTCTCTAATTAAAAAAATATCTAAGTAAAAAAACATTAAGACACATTAGCACAAAATTAAAATTGTGTTGTACCATCTATTATGAAGTTTTATAAAAATCATCTTTATATTATTAATTATTATAAAAAAAAAGGCTTCATTTTGAGGGTGGAGATGAGATTTATAAAAAAAAAACTATAAATAACAATTATGAATAAAATTTTCATTAAGTTTGACTCCACTCAAGACATGTCACAAACCCCCCTCTATTTCTCCCTTTTGACCTTTAACCACCAAAATTTAATGGTACCAATGCTTCATATATAGAAATAACTCTGCCAAGTTTCAAAATGTTTGGTTCATCCAGTCTTGAGATATAATGCAAAATAGATGCCAACATACATATTTTTGGGTTCCTTGAGTGTCAAAATGTTGAGAAATTAATAAAAAAAAAAGGGGGGAGTCAAAATTTTTATCACTATACTTTCTCAGTGTTATATTCTTTAACAACTGGAAAAGTAATAGACAATGAAAAAGAAGTGATTGAGTAATACCTGAAATGCCAGGTAGCCATTATTTTGTGAAAAGTTCTATTGACTTGAAATATAGAAGCCTGATATTTTATTATGATTGTTATTA